CCCCCCCCGCCCGCTCCAGTTTCTGGCGCAGCCGCGAGGAGTCGGCGTGACTCCGTGTGGACCAAACCTAGTGGATGCAGTTAGCGTCGGAGGCTCGCACAGCCCGCCACCAGGGTTATTCCCGCCTTGTAGGTTTGCCGGGACTTGCCGCCCCCCAGCTGCCTTCACCAGGTACGCTAGTTTTCCATGGGTCGGAAGTCCGGGAAGCTGGAGGCGCGGCTGCTGAGGCCGAGCCCGGACTCCAAAAACCGGGCCCGGCAGGGGCCGCAGCCCTGCCCAGCGCGCCCGGAGTCAAAGACCGTGGCTTACCCACGGTCACCGCCGACTCCGCCGGCCCGGAGACAGGCCGCAAAGGGCTTCCCGGGTGACAGCGGCCCGAGGGGCGGCCGAGCCAGGGTCGGGTCAGGCGGCCTGGGAACCGGACCGGAGCTCTGCGCAGAGCGCGTTCTGTCGCTTTGGCTTTGTGTTCTTTGGTTCCTGGCTGCGACTCTGTTGACCTTTCCCGTGTACAGACCTGTTTTTATTTTGTTGTGTTTAAGTTTATTTCAACAATAAAAGAGAGTGGGAAATGAAGGCTCAGTTTTTTCATTGGTAAACGAGAATCGTAATGAGATTATGGTAAGGCTTAATCTAAGAAGTTAACTAGTTTTTAATAAATGGGGAAACGCCTCACAAAAATGGTTAGGTGCATTTCAGCTTTGAGAAAGAAGGAAGAGGGACCAGCAGATGGCGTAATGGTTACGTCGCTGGAATCCCACGTAGGCGACCGTGGTTCCTGTCCCAGACCCGGCAGTTTCAACCTCATGCCTAGAGCCTGTGCGTTTGTGCCCAAGATCCTAAGAGAATGGAGAAGGGGTTGCAGTGTGGCCATCCTTCCGGAGCGGTGATTTCTCGCTGTCACTTAACCTTCATCTCTCTGGCGAGTGTATGCACCCTGTAGCAAAAATTTCACACACAAAAAAGAGGGAGTCATATTTTGTACTGTTTGATAACCATTCGTAGGCACTCGTGTAATGGTTGATTTTTTACACAGTAGCTCAGGGAAAAGAGAGTGTCAATATTACCGTTTTGTAAATGGCTACCTTATTAAAGCATTGACAAGATAGCTTCTTACACCATTAGCCAAGATTGGAGAAGACAAAAATGGAGCAGGTTTGCTAAGGGAAATTAAGGTTTTGGAAGGATTTTGGTTGGAGGAGCTGCAGTAACAACTGTATTTATTAGACAAAGACCCCTGTATATTTTTAGCTCTGGAGAGAGATATCTGGGAGAGGAAGACAGGTAGAGGAGAAATAAAGATTGATTTGAGAGACCTCATACAGGTGGATTTCGGTCATAGGATTTCATAATAGGTTAACAGATCTCGAAAGATGGGTGGAAGTGTAGTTTGAATACACATTCAATATTACAATTTCCATTTGGGAAAATAACCCATTTTCAAAATACATAATACAGAAAGAGCTCAAGATTTTTATATTTATAAGAAGGTTTAGCTGGGGCCAGCAGGTGGCAAGGTAGTTTAGGCTGCAGGACTCCCACATGGCCTGCCAGAGGTTGGAACTGACAGACCTAGAAGCTTGCTTTCTCGTTTTCTCTCTTTCTCTTTGGTGAGCCTTTGTGCCCTATAGCAAAGTTAAAATAATAATAATAAATAAGTCTTTAAAAAAGAAAAGTTGAGGAACACTGATACAGAATACAGGTAAAGTCATGGGAAGAAATGAAATTGTCCAGGAGAGCGTATGGAATAAGAGAAGTGATAAGCAGAGGGTGATTTAGTAATACAAGAATTGGGAAGAGAACTGAGAAGAAAATTGAAGTCACAGAATTGAAAATATTGGCATCATGTGGGCTTCACTTTTAACTATATGGCTTTGGATAGTTTGAGCCTCATATTTAATCTATACAAAGGGGGTAAGAAATACTTTTCAGAGCTTTTGTGAAAATTAAATGGACAGTTTTGAAAACTTAATTAGTACAGTGCCCGGCACAGAATAAGAGCTCAGTAATTGCTGTCATTCTGGTGAACTCAGCACATCTCTTCTATCACCAAGAAAGTTTTAAAAGCCTTAGACTTGAAACGTAAACCTTTGTCTCTGGTGTCTAAGATGTCATTGGTATCATTGATGAAAATTTCAGTAGATGGTAAAGGTAAATACAGGTGGAATTCCTTATCTGAAAAGCTTCGGATCAGAAGGATTTTGGATTTCAGATTTTTTTCTCAGTTTTGAAATATGTACACATTTATAATGACGTATCTTAGGTATGGGACCCAAGTCTTGACACCAAATTTATTTATGTTTCATACATATGTTATATGCATACCCTGAAGGTAAATTTATACAGTATTTTTGTATTGTATTTTGAATACAACTATCACATGAGGTCAGGTGTGGAATTTTCCACTTGTGTCACACTGGTACTCAAAAACATTTAGATATTGAGCATTTTGAATTTTCTGATTAAGGATGCTCAACCTGTACTAGATAAAAGTGATGGACTTTTAAGTTCTGTCAGGTTGCATGCACTATTGCAAAGAATTTGTCAGTGTAGGGAGGGAAGTATGTATAGTGATAGG